TAATAATAATAATAATAATTCTGTTATGTTTGGTCACATTTTAAAAGAGCCACTGCAGAGAGCCACATTTGGCCCCAGAGCCACAGGTTGCAGACCTCTGCACTAGTCAAATATAGCAATTGGAATAAAAAACAAACTGAAAAACAGGAATTTACAATGAAAATATCAAATGCWGTGTTATAATAGCAGCTCTGCTTATTGAATATTTTTAAATGAACTTATTTACCCTGTTTATTCAAATTACATAAATAAAATTAGAATTAGCTGGTTTTAAACATTTATTCTTGTATTTGTGAAAATTTTTTTTGTCACTTTTCCAATTCAGCCTCTWGAGTTCTGTCCTTCCCTGTTCATCAAGACCCTGTCCTGCATGTTTTTGTTGTTTCCTCTTTTCGGCACACCTGATTCAAATTTTATTGGCTTCAGTAAGCTGACATGTGGTATTTTATGACTACAGTGAGATAAAAAAAAATACATTTCGAATGTGAGTAATAAATATTTTTTTCATAAGGGCTGTGATTGTTTTAGGTTGTATTATTTAAGAATTTTCTGTTTATCAGAAATGATATTGTATAAGAATGTTCTCGTGTTTCGCTGCTTGAAAACCCAGATTGTTTAGTTTGTGTAGATTTCCTTTAAGCTGCTCCYTTTAAATGTGTGAAATTCTGCTCTCTTGTACAATCAGCTTGGTTTGACTTTTATTGCACAGAACATGCACAGTTTGAAGTGGTGAAATCATGTGAACGTCAATTATATCCATAAGTGTTTTTATCGTTGTACATCTGTGGGTTTTAATGGACAGTAAATACTTGTTCGTACATTCTTTGTACAAGATGTCCAAGTGAGTGTGAAGCAGGACATATACATGTGGTTTCAGTGTGTGATACAGTATGTATTTCTGTGTTTAAACCAGAAAAGAAAAAACAGAAAGATAGAAAGTACAGTCCTGTGTGTTTGTACAAATCGATACAAGTTCTCATTACTTCATCATGTGCACACATTTGTTTATGTGTGGGTTTGGAGAGCAGCTCTCCCACACTGACCTTTGCCAAGAAGAATATGTGTTCCTGAATTAATACTGTGTTTGGCAATCTGTTCATAACACAATTCTGCACACATGAACTAATATCTTACAATATCTAATCAAGCAGACTATGGTCTAAAGGAATGGATCTTAAATAAAATAACATGATTGATTTATTGTTAACATAATGGGAAAAGAATGGGAAATAATCAGCGGAATGCTGGGTTGTGTGCCTTTCTGTAGATCCCCACAGGTTGACATAGCATAAAGCTTGTTGTTTTGCTTGACCAGCTTGCAGCTTTACTGTYTTACAGACAGCACATTTTAGAGTGAAGCTCTGAAACCCAGCTATACGCTCACCACCAAATGCTAGACAGAGTCAACATTACCTTCTGGTTGTTGGTGAAAACTAAAACCAGTGAGAACACTGCTAAAATTCAAATCACATCCATTTAGTTTCCAGAARCACAACTTGCAATGATGTATATGTTTGTTAAAATGTTGGTTCTGATCAGGTTTAAGCTTGCGTCTAGTAACCCCAATCAGACAAACCAATAAAAAAAAAAAAATCTTAAATTTCTTTTGTAACCCCGTCTTTTAGGTGCCCGATGCCATTCAAAAGTGCCAGCGTGCAGGCATCACTGTGCGCATGGTGACCGGAGACAACATAAACACAGCCAGGGCCATAGCCATCAAATGTGGGATCATCCATCCAGGAGAGGACTTCCTCTGCATTGATGGCAAAGAGTTCAACAGGAGGATCCGCAATGAGAAAGGAGAGGTACAGAGACTCTTGTCAGGTGGAAAGACTGGTAGAGAAAGTGTCACAAAAAAAATAAAATAAAAAAAACCTGTTTTTCTGTTTGCCCCCTTTTTTTGATATCCAGGTGGAGCAGGAACGGATTGACAAGGTTTGGCCTAAACTCCGAGTCCTGGCCAGATCCTCGCCCACTGACAAACACACACTTGTCAAAGGTGAGTAGGTTGCAGGTTTTAATTTGATTGATTCTAACTTACATGGTTTTACTACAAACAAAACACTTAAAACAAATCTTTACTTTAATTGAACACATTATTAACAATTTTAAGATCAGAAACAACTTGTTAATATAGGGCGTGAATGTGCTTTACACATGTTGTCCTGTGTGGCTTTGTCAGGCATTATTGATAGCACAATGGTCGATCAGAGGCAGGTTGTGGCCGTGACAGGCGATGGGACCAACGACGGACCTGCTTTGAAGAAAGCAGATGTCGGTTTTGCCATGGTAAGAAAAGCAGCTTTTGTTTTCATTTTTGTTCRTTTTGTTTTTTGAATCGTAAGCATTCGTACAAAAATGATCCCAGTGGAAATCTATAAGATGTCTTTTTAACCTCTGCATTATTTAGGCTTTCTTCTCAGATATTCTGCCTGTTTGTTCAGTTTAAGAGCGCCTCCTGGTGGATTATTAGTTTTGCACAGCTTCTTAGTAGAAGCTCACCAGCGTTCTCAGATGTTACAATAAAACACGCGTCTATAATGTAAAATTTTGAGTTTCCTCCCCCCAAATTGTTGCTGTTTTCCCCTCTCGGTGAGCTTTTTGTAGTTATTTTTTATTTATTTTGCAAATAATCAAGCTGGTTTGTTATAATTCTTTACCGTCATATTTTTAGCTTTGCATTTTGACCTCCACAGTTTTTTTATACATTTAAGTAAAATTCCCATGCCTACAGACAACCCTAGACTCAGAATACTAAGCTTAGCCAGTAGATAAATTTAAACTACAGCCTCCATTCTCTCTGAATAGTCTTTAAATAGCTTTTAAATGTGCCAAACTCTCCCACACCAATCACCTTGCCTTTATCCTAGTTTTTTTTTAGTACACTGCCTACATATCCTGTATCCTCTGTACTGCGTTTCACATTCTTGACTTGCTATTGCACATGCTGTGGGTTTGAAATTTTTAAGAAAAGATAAAAAAGTACTTCCATTCCTATTGCAACCTTTTTTTTTTACTTTTCCAGGGTATAGCCGGTACAGATGTGGCCAAGGAGGCTTCAGATATCATCCTCACTGATGACAACTTCAGCAGCATTGTGAAAGCAGTTATGTGGGGCCGAAACGTCTACGACAGCATTTCCAAGTTTCTTCAGTTCCAGCTCACTGTCAACGTCGTGGCTGTTATAGTAGCTTTCACTGGTGCTTGTATCACACAGGTAAGAGCCATGGAACATTGGGGTTTGCTGTTCATGTGTCTTTGTGACACACCGTTAATGGCATCCTTCAGGTTCGGCTGGAACAGCATAATGACCGTTTGTCAAATCAAAGCGACATAAACTAAATACTCACTTGTTTCAGAAGATATTAGGAAAAGAAAGTTTATCATAATTTATTTTTTTTGCTTCCGTTTCATTTCCCCCTCCAGGATTCTCCGCTCAAAGCAGTGCAGATGTTGTGGGTCAACCTAATCATGGACACCTTTGCGTCTCTGGCCCTGGCGACAGAACCTCCCACAGAGTCTCTGCTGAGGAGGAAGCCGTACGGCCGCAATAAGCCCCTCATCTCCAGCACCATGACCAAGAACATCTTAGGCCACGCGGTCTACCAGCTCATTCTCATCTTCACGCTGCTTTTTGTCGGTGCGTACGGTTGTTGTGCACTTTRACCGTATCGTGACGCGACACAGGCTAAAAACAAATGACACATTGTTCCCTCCAGGAGAGAAGATATTTGATATCGACAGCGGCCGTGACGCTCCCCTCCACTCTCCTCCGTCTGAGCATTACACCATCATCTTCAACACCTTCGTCATGATGCAGCTGTTTAATGAAATCAACGCTCGCAAAATACACGGAGAGAGGAATGTGTTTGATGGTATCTTCAGGAACCCAATTTTCTGCTCCATTGTTTTTGGTACATTTGCTATGCAGGTAAAAAAAAATTATTTTCAGTTTTATTTATTGCTTTGTTGCTTAGAAGGATACTTAATTTTAGTTAGCTATGCTACATTTATTGTATTATGGTACTTAGTTTTTTTTGTTTTTAATTTTTTTTATTTTTAAATTAAAATAAAATGTAGCCACTTCAGTAGAAAGCAGAACTGAATATCAGTTTCTTAACTTCTTCATCATCAGTGACATTTTTTTTAAAGAAGAAAAAGTAAGAGAAGAAAAAAATAGTGAAATGTAATGGGAAAGAGTGAAAGAGAGATTAGAAGATATGTGTAATATATAGAGACAGCACACCCGACATCTTGGCTGTACCCTTACAGAAACAGAGATAACAAAAACACAGCAACAAAAATGCATATCTATATAATTATAATGATTATAGCCTTGCTGAAAGGTATACATATATATATAAACATATCCATACCTACATCCATACACATATATACATACATACATATATACATATATAC